TTTGCGGTATATTTATTTATTTAAAGAACTTGATATTAGTCAATTTTAGGGTACAAATCAACAATTAAATGTTAAATTACGGTAATTACCATGTAAAATTATATGAATATGCAGAGAAAAGTAAAAAGTATGAATATATATGAAAAATTAGTTCGGTCCCTGCCGCTAGATGGCGATACCATTTGGGGGTCCATTAGCTTGCCTATATGCACTTATAATATGGAAATACATGATTGCAATGAATTTAATGAATAATAAAGGATAATTATTAACGATTATGGTACTGCTCATTCCTCTGGGGCAATGATGCATCCCATTCGCTACTTAAGGCTGGTTGGTTAGCAAAATCTTTCGGGGGGACTGTATAAGATGATTTGTACTATGTTTAATTTTGTTTATTTTCATCTGCAAAAAAATTGTGTATGTGCTACAAATGTCAATAAATATTCCTTATAGATTAAAGAGAAAAATTCTCAGAAAGAATTAAAAATTGACGCTCTAGACTAGAATGCTCCCTTAAGTGACCACGCACGGAACAAAGTGTTTGCTAATCAAATGAATGTTGCATGCCTCTGGAATAATATTTTGTATGGGATTGGACGCCTACAAGAGCAACCAACCCCACTGTAAACTAATCACCGGATAATGGGCAAATTTGTATTCGTTCGTCATACTCGTCGACCCCTCCTACCAATAAAATGTCATCCACTGTATAGTTGTATACTTCGATCTCTCCGTAGTCCCATCCCTGGTCAATTTCAAGTTTCTTAATTAAGGAACCTTCCGATACTTTAGCCCCGTTAAGTTTACCAGCGTTCGGCTCCTCCATAACATTGGAAACTCTCTAACGTAACATGACGTTCCGATGTCATGGTGTGACGTACTTCGAGAGACATTGGATCGACGTGCTTTGTAGCATTGGAAAAACCTTGTATTAGGTCGTCCTAAAAGTTCGTGCCATTTATACTTCTATTTCTCAAATTAATATGTGAAACATACTCTTAAGTGTCACAAGAAAAGATAATCTGTCTCATTTCACAACAGTTTCTCACCTCTCTCAGACAGTAATTATACCGTTACTAGAAAACTCCCGGGATCGGGATGGAATCACGAGAATTTCAAAATCGCGCGACCGTATCACCCATATCCCAAATACATTCGGGATTCCCGTGAATTTCCGGGATTCCGTAAATGTTCGGGATTCCCGGGAATTTCGAAATCCCGTACATTCGGATTGCTGAAATTTTCAAGAATAACAACACTTTCGGAAGTCCAAGATATTATTCTATATCCCGTACATTCTCGGGAATCCCGCATAAACTCGAGAATCCCGAATATTCTCGGGAATCCCAGACATTTTACGGGAATCCCGCACACCCCTAGTTATTACACATGACGGTCATATCGGATCCGTCATTTTGAATGTCGCAATTCCGATATCAAATTCGTACTTCGTTGTGTATCGTTTCCACAAATCGACCAAAAATTTCGATATCTCTCCCAATAAATTTCACTTATAATCACCGGTTCAACATGCTTAAAAAACACCAACGTTCTGCTCCAAATCCCCTCGATTCGTAACGAAACCCGAATAACCTCAGTCGCCGTTCGCTAACATCCGATCCCATTTTTCTCTTCGAGTTTACCCGATCCCTCCTCGATTCCCCCTGATCCTCGTCGATCGCGTGTTCCCGCCTCTGGAGAACCGCAAACCTTTCTCTCACCCCTCGATTCCGCGCGACGGAATCGCGACTAAAATGTGGCACAAGGTCTCCGGGGTATTCTTCGGGGGTTCACAGGTTCCGGGAAAGGGTGCCGTGGTTAACGGACCGCGCATAACGAAGCGGGAGCCACGTAAAATTCGTAGGCGAATGCTCTTTAATTAGCACGCCGCAATGGGCGTCGCGTCGCGGAACCAGAGGATGCGGCGGTAGAAGGGTGTTGGGGGGGTTGGAAGGAAAAGGAAGAAGACGACGGCGTAGGTGAAGCGGAGGAGAAGGGTGAACGGGGGGTGAACGAAGGGGTCGCGCGGGTGGTCGGGCGATGGAAGCGCGGAGAGACTTAAATAATTATCGTTTCGAAGCCGCCTCGCGCGGGAACGCGGCGGGTTGAGGCCGCATCTGTTTCTGATTATTAATTAATATCAACCAACCCGAGGCCGTGTTCGCATGAGCGAGCTCTCTCGTTGCTCTCTCATACCTAGCGCAGCCCAGGCCTCGATACGCGCTGAAACCGTACCCCAGGCCTCGCCTCTGCTCTGTGCACGCGTGGCCCACGCAGGCACGGGGATTCCCTCTCTGCACGCGATCTCTACCCCGGATTTTGCGCGTGCACGCTGGATGCGCGACGCTCTCTGAGCGAGACGGACGCTGGACCAGAGTGAAATCGAGCGATTCTACAGAGTGTTAACAAACGTGTGGGCGCTTTTTGATGATTTTGGTCCTGACAACGGTATAACCGTACCACGTTTTAAACTCGTCTGACAGTGACTAGGTTGGGGACGGTGAACGTCGCGTCACCCGTATCCCTGTTTCTTAAGTCGGCGACAGACTTGCAACAGAACATTGTAATGTAACGCGAGCATTTCTTGCGCTCGGTTCGCGCTCGAACGTGCTCCATTGGTTTGTCGGTATTTTGACGAACCTCTTTGATCGTCTACTTTTCACTGAACTGAGTAGGAAGCATTGAGAGAGAATTCAGCCGAGAATTCGAAGCGAGCATTCGTGATTCCAAAAAGGACCTTGTAATGTAATGTTGGTGGCGAACCATAAAATTCGTGCCGAGCAGTTACATTACATCGTTCTGTTGCATGTCAGTCGCCGGCTTTACAGGCATCGCTCTGTACTAAGTTCCCGCCTCTACTATTCCTTAATGTGTCACGCAAGGGCTCAACGCGGCTGATTTCTCTCAACTTATGGCAACCCTGGTCAGACCTGTAAACCTCAGCTGCAAACCTTAGCTGTAAACCTCAGCTGTAAACCTCACCTGCTTATATCTCGATAACGAACCCTTAGATCGCAAAATGATAGAGGACTTTTCGATTCGAACTAACGTCAGGGATCGTACCCCACTAAGAAGGGGCCACGTGTTTGTTAACAGCCTGTATATTCATATGTTGCGCAGAAATGAACAGAATGTTCGCCAGGCATTAAAATTAATGAAACGAACGGAACACGCGTTTTAACGAAAATGTATGTGGGCGATCAGGCGGAAGCATGCTCTCTCGGACATGGAGCCGAGAACACGCAAACGCCCCCCGGGCTTCGAATATACGAATACATATCTAGCCGTATACCCTTGCTCTTTCTATTACATTCGATACCCTTCATCGCCGTCCGCGTCCCCCTCCCACGGCGCCCTTTTTGCGTTCCTATTTCACCAGGCAGCGAAATCGATGGAGAACATGCCGTTGATTTCATTTGACTACGGTACGACCATCTTTTTCGGGGCCCTCCACTCTGCATAGCAGGTTGGTGCACAGTGAGCCTGAAAGGTGATTTTCTGTTAGTGTTTAGGGTTGTAAGTAGCCTACTCCTCCGAGGACACTTGTTCTTATTCGGTTATAACTTGGTACTAATAATAAATGAAGGTTTTCATAATTAATCATTTTCATAACTAATATTTATCTTATTCGTTCATAATTCGATAATGTAGAACATCCTAGTGGATAAAAGAGGCGCTGCTGTTGGTTATGTAGAGCACTCAGTTGATAAATCCTTCGATCACCTAGGGCCCTACATCGCCGACAAGGTACTCTGCGTTACGAAAAGTTCAAAAAACATGTTTACAGGGTCAAAACAACACAAAAATTGAAATTTTTAGTGTCTATGTATGTGATATAGTAATCGTTTATCGTCGAGGAATCCTATCGAGTGGTCCAGTATCGACTGTTTCCTACTTTTCATGCACTTTTACACATCCAATTTCAATTTTGTGTTGTTCTGATCCTGTAAATATGTTTTGTAAACTTTTTAAACTTTTGGTAACGTAGAGTACCCTGTCGGCGATGTAGGATCCTAGGAACTGCGCGTTCTACGTTACCGAGTTATAAACGAATAAGAAAAGCATTAGTGATGAAAATAATTAATTACGAAAACCTTTATTTAGGAACACGGAAAGGTCTTCTGTTGAAGATGGACTTCTATTACACCCCTTTCATAGTAAACGTTTCATATATCGACTCAGTGGTTAGTAGGATGCCGATTATTAGTTGGATTTCCATTGTTTGTAACTTCCTTCTCCGACTCTCGATTATTCGGACAAGCGGTCGGAAACTCTTGCAGTGGAAACGCGAACGTACAGCTACCGATTCGCTATATTAAGTTGTCCACTTGCCCGAACAATTGACGTTCCACGGTATCGGTTGTCATCGACTCTGGTCTAATAGAACAATGGCGCGGCCGGAGCCACTGGTTCAGCCTTGCCAGTCTGAAAATAATAATGATATTTTTGCTAAATGAATATCGAATGTATCGCGTGAAAAGTAAGAACACTGGCATTAAGAGGGAAGCCCTTTTGCTCATCTTTAGTATTATTATATGATTGATTAATACATTTCTGTAAACTCACAACTATGTGTAATTTAGGATATTTCTACATAAAAAAATTGCGACAAATACTCTGAAAAACGTCCTTTCGAATATCCTACATCTTACTACCAGAAAATTTTCCGGTTGTCCAAAATTAATTCACAA